GAAATCATATAATATGTGGTCTTTTGTATCTGGCTTCTTTCACTTAACATACATGGTACCTATATTAATTTCTATGCCAGAACTATTACTACTTCAGAAAACAATAGGAGAGACTTCAGTGCAGCATCCTTGTTCTCAGGAGTCTTGGAGTAAGATACACCTAATCACACTCTTCTACGTAATCAATTCCATGATTGATGATGGTCCTGAAAGCACAGGAAGACTAATGCAGGGCTCTTAGTGACACAAAGCAACTGCTCTGGCAGTGACGCGTTAATGCAACCAACCAAAACAGAAAGCCAACTAAGCAATGGAGATACACAGGTCCAGCCCTACGCACAAGTCTGTTGGGGTAAGGACCATAACAACTGTGGTAGCAGAGATGGTGGGAAAAAAACCCATTAGCATGTAGACGTCACTTCCTTTCCTAAGACTATAAGGCAGAAATGGCCTTTATTATCTCCCTAAGTCTCAATTCTCTTAATAGAAACTGCTCCTACAAATCTTTCAAACTCCTCTTATACCCTACTTTCCCGTGCAGTCCCAAGCCCCATCATCTCTTGTCTAAATTACTGCAATAGTCTCCTAATTGATTTCCCTGTTTCCAATCTTGTCTGGTGCCAATTTGATTGCCACACACCAGCCAGAGAATATCTTTTAGAAACATTTACCAGATCAAGTATTACCACTGCTTAAAACCCTCCAATGGCAGTCTATGTCACTTAGAATAAAATCCGAACTCCTGATAGAAAACCTAGTGATCCAATTCCTACCCACCTATCTGACCTCAGATAACTCTTCCCCTTGTCTGCTATCCTCAACAAGTCTTATTTTTTTTTTTTATTTTGTTCTTTAGAAGCCAAGGTCATTCCCACTTTAGAGGGCCTTGGCACTAACTGTTCCCTCTAACTGGAATATGCTAATTGATTCGTATCTAACCTTAAATGTCACCTCCTTAGAGAGACCTCCTCTGATCACCCAACTACAGCTACACTTTCTAACACATCAGTCTACTTGAATTTCTTATACTGTACAACCACCTGACATTTATTTGTCTATTGCCTATTGCTCCCCCTAGAATGTACGCTCCTTGACAGAAGGGACTTTGTTGGCCAGGTTTATCACTATCCAAAGGCACTCAGTAGGCAAACAGTAAGTATTTGCTGAATAAATGAATCATTATTCATCATAATGATGTCTAACTCAGCAATCTCTAAAATAGTTTCCATTTTGCAGGTAAAATTATCATTAGGAACATGGGGTCTGGGATAAGGAATTTGATTTTAAAATTAATTCTGAAGTCATTCATTATACACAATAATGGCACTTAAATTTTACTAGAAGTGTTAGCCAGCCCATGCAACTACTCATCTTCATTAACACTGATAAAAAAGAATATTCTGTTGGTTAATAAATTACAAAGTTAATGAAAAATACTGAATGATTGATTCTGAACTTTCTATGTTGCTTCTTTGGGGAAAAAAAAAAGGGGGCGGGATTGATAAACTAGTAGTTTAAAACTTTTTGCCCATTCCTAGGTTAGGAATTTCATACTGCTACTTTTTAATCAAAGGCAAAGATGTTGGAAAGCATATACTGTTTAAGTCTGTCACAGTACCCAAAGTGGCACTTCCGTGCAGTAACTTGGCTGTTTTGGAGCTCATGAAAAATGCTCTTTCACAGCGATGATAGAATGTCTTTCGTAAGTGGTGCCCACTTCCCGTTCTAAAATATTGACCAAGAGAGCATGGCAAAGTAACTTGTTGACATTCTACATTAAGCAAGACTATTTTCTAATCTTGCCATGCTAAAATAAAGACAACAGAGTTCTTTCATTTTGTAAGAAATTTTTTATTTGTCTTGGTTGGTGGTTCTCAGTGTGGGACCTATACCAATAGCTTCAGCATCACCTGAGAATTTGTTAGAAATGAAAATTCTTGGACTTCACCCCAGTCATACTATATCAGAAACCCTGGGAGGAGGGCCCAAAAACCTGTGTTTATAAGCCCTTCAGGTGATTCTGATACATACTGAAGTCTGAGAATGACTGGCGTAGGTTATTGCTTTTTCCGTAAATGCCAGTCAAAATAGTAAAGAGAAAAAGACTAGCTATTATAGATTGATAGAAAAGGAGACTTTGACAAAGTTCTTGCTTGAGGCAGGATATCCATATATTGATTTTAAATTTTAAGTGTGTTACACATATGATGAGTTTTTTTTTAATGTCTTTTATTTTAGAAAACTTTATAAAAGGAATCAATAGTTAACCTCTTTCTTCTGGGATATAAATAACTTGGGTGGTACAAGAAATATACCTTTGTGGAGTTATGCATAAGATAGAACCTAGAATGGCACTTCTTTTTTTTTTAACACAGGTAGTTAAGTCATTTCATATCTAGATTAGATAATAAAACCAAGATGGGGGAAAATGTTTCCTGACTACTTAAATCCCATAAAAACTATGAGAAAGCTAAATATTTTGAAAAATGACTTAAAACATTTATGAAAATGTATGTAAACGTGGATATAATCTTAGGGGCTTATACTGAGACTAAACTGTCAATTCTCAAGTAAATTCCCTCTCAAATACCTTCATCCATTTTAACTATGAAAACAAATACATGTCACCTCTCGAAACCCTGGTCGCATAGTGGTTAAGAGCTACGGCTGCTAACCAAAAGGTTGGCAGTTCCAATGCACCAGGCACTCCTTGGAAACCCCATGGGGCAGCTCTACTCTGTCCTATCAGGTCGCTATGAGTCCAAATCGACTCAACAGCAACGAGTTTGGGTTTTTTTTTTTGGTTTCTCTATCAGTATAGAGGGTCAGAAGAAGGCACGGTCACCCTAGGTTTAGCTCTATCTAGCCAGTCTGGATAACAGATTTGTATGTGATGAAGACAAAGATTCTTTTTTTAAATCATGCTTTAAAAAAAGCAAGAAACTTTAAATAAAAATAGTTATGATAATTTAGAGCAAAATACGATGTAGAAAGAGCTAGTTAACTTTCCTCACTAGGGGGAAAAAAAAAAACTAAGACCAATACGAGAAAAATATATATGTCGTTGTTAATTGACGTTGAGTCCACTCCAACTCATGGCAAACCCATGTGTGCAGAGTAGAACTGCTCCACATGGTTTTCAAGAGTCCTGGTGGCACAGTGGCTAAGTGCTCAGCTGCTAGCCAAAAGGTCATGGTTTGAACCCACCAGCCACTCCACAGAAGAAAGATGAGGCAGTCTGCTTCCTTAAAGATTACAGCAGTGGAAACTGTATGGGGCAGTTCTACTCTGTCCTACGGGGTCACTATGAGTCAGGATCGACTTGACGGCAACGGGTTTGGTTTTGTTTTTATAGTTTTCAAGCCTGTGACCCTTTGGAAGCAGGTCACCAGGCCTGTTTTCCGAGACGCGTCTGGGTGAGTTCAAGCCTCCAGTCTTTTCAAACCTCCAACCTTTTGGCTAGTTGTCAAGCACTTAACCATCTGCAGCATGACGGACTCCATATATTCTATTAGCTTAAGTTTTCAAATCTTTGTCTATCACATAATAATTTCTTGCCTTCTTTATTTCCTTTCTCCTGGCAATCTTCAATTCTTAAAAGGTAGCACTGTTGAGAGACATGGTGTTTAACCCCATCTTTGCCACTTACTAGCTGAATGACTTTGGAAAAGTTTTCTCTATCTCTAGCATTCTTTGTAACACTAACATTTTATGGTTCTATGAACAGCACTTAGTTTACTTCAACTGAGAAATGTTCAGAAAGGTTTTAAAGTATAAAAAAAGACTTGGAATGGCAAGATTTTTTAGAAGTCTTCATTTTGTTAGATGGCAAAAAGATATAAAAATTCTATGCCATTTCCAACATAACAACTAAGGGCAAATGGTGAATGCTGAAAGGGAAATCATTTATACTTTTTCTCTGTTTTTTCACAACCAAAGGCCAACTACCTGTAAGATGACTGGCCAAGGTTAGTCAATTAAATTGAACTACTCTTCTTAGGTAACTAAGAAAATACAGACCCTTCTAAAGATGCAGACTGCTAACAGAAAAGTCAGTGGTTCAAACCCAACAGTGGCTCTGCGGGAGAAAGATGTGGCAGTTTGCTTCCACAAAGATTACAGCCTTGAAAACCTATGGGACACTTCTACCTATCCTATAGGGTCACTATGAGTCGGAATCAACTTGATAGCAAGAGGTAAAAAGCTACAGACACAGAATTGGTGCCTGATGTTAATGTATCTTCTTGATGTAAATATCTATTTTAAATTATGCACTCCAGGAAAACATACTGGGCATGTCTTTATTTCACAGACTCTAAGATGCACATTTTTTCCTATTATGACATACCTGAAATCAAAGTATGTCTTAAAACCGCTGTGGGCCAGGCAGTAGTCATAGTTGTCATGGATTTTGCATGTGTGAATATTAGAACACAAACATAAAACTTGGAAAATGAATGTCAGCAGCTTAGAAGAAAATCTTGGGAACAGCTGTGGAACACTCTTTTAATCCTTCAAAACCAAGATTGCTGAAGTCACAAATAACTAGCTTTACATATCAATAATCGCAAAGGTGGCTTAAAAGCCTACCATCAATGGCTCCTGGCATTCTATACCTTCTCTTAAAAAATGTTGCATCACAACGTTCTAAATGGCACAGAAGATAATTCTGTGTGGAAAAACACAAGCCTCAAGAATGCCCAGTAAGTCATTTGGAAAAATATAAAAAAGTTTTAGGAATACTTAACCAATTTAATTAGCTTATATTTTCGTTTTCAGTCTTTCTCTAGCTAAATATAAATGGTCTAGTCTAATGAGAAAAAAACTAATAGGAAAACTTCATAAGAAAAAACTTAGTATATATACTACACTGCTCAGTATAGTATAAAATAATAGTATGTCTTAAAATTGATAAAAATACAATAAAATCTACCTGCAACTTGTAGAAAAATAAAATATTTTTGCTTAATTCCATTAAAAAATTGCCTTTGTAGCATTACCTGTAAACCACAGCAGCCTACAGCATTCATTATGGAGGCATTGTGAATAACTCGATAAGGGATCCCCCGCTTAGCTGCTCTCAGAACAAGATCACTGTGTGTTGTAGCCCTGTAGTGAGAAAAGACCAAGTTATATTAAAGCAACTAACATTCTGACTTTTTAAGACAGTAAAGCTACAATATTTTGTGAGTTCAAGTTAATCAAAGTGTCAAGAGCTCTGCTCTTAATTAAATTCTGCTAGGCACCTGCACAAGGCCTCATCGGGGCTTTTGGCTAGAAAAGTATAAGCCTATACATGCCCTTCACAGTGATGACTTGCAACCGTAACACTCTTAAAGCACCCTTGGCAGTGACTGACAAAAGGGAAGTTTCACTTGTTCATTTCTCCAGTTAATATCTGCAAATGACATCTGCGGAATGTAAGCTCAGCAACTTAACTCTTGAGCAGGAATTCTCAAACTTTTTGCTCTCAAGGCCCCTTTAAACTCTTAAAATTACTGACTATCCCCAAAAGTCTTTGTTTATGTGGGTTATATCTATTGACACTTACTGGATTCTGTATTAAAACCAAGATATTTTAAAAATACTTGTTAATTCATTAAAAATTTAAAAAACCATTACATATTACACACAAATAACATCTTTTTTACAAAAAATACATTTTTCAAAAGAAGAAAAAAAAACCTTATTGTTTTACAGTTTTGCAAATCTCTTTAATGTCTGGCTCAACAGAAGACAGCTGAATTCTGTATTCTGCTACTGTATTCAATCTGTTACAATATCACATACCATACAGCCTCTGGAAAACTCTACCCATACCCACTGCCCTGGAGTCTCTACAGTATACTCAAAAGAGAATGAGAGCAAGACACGTAACATCTCTTTTCTTACAAAAAGTTTTTATCTCCTGTACCTGGTGAAAGAGTCTCAGAGACTCCCAGAGGTCCCCACCACACTTTGAGAACCACTGCTCTACAGCTCTAAACTACTGCCTAACTAGACTTACTCCTTTATTTCTGCTCTATTTTAAAGACTTTCTTCTGAAATACAACAAGGCAGAATATACAGAACATTTTCATGGCCTGTCTTTCAGTCTTTATATGAGAGTTCTATCCAATATAATCCTATTTGGATTTTACATTTGTCTAGCAGTCATTTTCTTTATAACTCTTTTCAGTCTGGTTACTGTGTATAATTAGTACGTTCGTATGCATATGTATATATGTGCATATTCTGCCTGCTGCCTTTCCTTGTTTTAGATAAATCTAAACGACTATAATTAGGTAGATTGAGGTAGAGAGAGAATACAGATACTGTGAAATGTAATCCCACATCAATTTAGAACTATATCATTAAAGGCCTTTTTCCTCTTGATGAAAACTCCAGGCCCTACTGGGGAACGCAACATTAGCATGTTTCAGAAACTACACATAAACAAGCAGAACCTGTCAACTGGTCAATGCATACCAAGTAGGAAGATCAAGGGCTTTCACCCATCAGGCAGGCAGACACAGATTAAAGAATGCCCACCAGGGAAGCCTGTTTTTAATCACACACATAAAATAAAAACTAGTATGAAAAACAAGCATTAATTTGATTTAGAGTAAGCTTTTAAAAAATGATACGAATGACAGTTGTAAAGAATGTTTTTAATATCACCGTCAACAGAATTTCACTACTTAACATCAAGAATAAGGAAAACTAGTCATTTGAGGAGTTATTTAAAGAAATGAACAGAAAGAAAAACTGTTTTAAAATTATCTCTATCACAAGTTCATTTAAAATGACCAGATGTGGTTGGTGTACTATGAAGATTTAATGACCTGGCAAAGTGATTACATTTTGTGAAACTAATTAGATTTTGTGAAACCATAAATGTGATTAAATAAATCCCTCAGATTTCAACCATAAAAAATGGTAATAAAATTGATATTTTATTATCACTATTATCTAGATTATCTTGTTTCACTAAAAAGAAAAAACTGGTTTGAAACAGGGGCTTAAGTCACTGTACTGAACATTCCTTCCAGTCTATGGCTCATGAAAATGTTTGATTTGTGGTGATTAGGAAACTAAGTGTGCATGTTTATGTGTGTGTGTATACACATACATATATGATTTTAGTAGAGCCACATGCCGAGAAATAGCAATAAATTTGTCTTAATAATGTGTTTGTTACTTGAAATTGCTCTGAAGGCAGTATCAACAGAGGAGACCCAAAAATCTTTTCATCAATGAAATCAATAAAATAAACTGCATAAATTTAAATGTATAGGACTTGGCATTATTTAAATTTTATTGTATAACATTAGATTTTGGGTATAGTACCACCAAATTTGACATAGGTGTGGCTGATGTTCTGAAAATTCACTGATGTTTGCAACAATATGGTGAAGGTGATGTTCTCATGAACTAATTAAAGCACTGTAAATTGGTATGATCCTTTTGAAAAGTAATTTGACAATGTGCTTTGTATGGTACAAAATGTCCATGTCCACAACTTTTTTTTGACCTCATAAGCCTATTCTGGAGAATTTACCATAAGGAAACAATCCAAAACGTGGGGATGAGGAAGTGGGAGAAATGAGAAAGTATCATATACATTAATCTTTACATGGCCATTTTACTGGAGAAAAAAATGGACTTATGATAATAATGGCTGACATTTATTGGACAGTTACTAGGTGCCAACCCTGTTCAAATGCATTATAGGTGGAATGGAAGCAATCAAATGGCCTACATTAAGGCATAGGAGACACTTAGGTGAATAACAGTACATTTTTTTGTTTGTGTGCCATGAAGGAAAAAGCACATAACAAATGGATAAAAAATTATGTGCACATTTATTATAAAATATATAGTTAGAGTATATTAAAATACAGAATGGAATAACAAAATGGAACCATCATTAGAATGAATTTGTTTAATGAAGACCCTGTTCAACACCTCCATACTGGAGTTGAATGCTTGAGACTGTCATCTCCCACACGACTGCGTCAGATCTATTGACGCAGTGTTTTTTTACAGTAATTTTCATTCTTTATGTAATTAACTTCAACATTCTTTTCAAGGGCAAAGATGACAACTACATCAACTGACTTAACTGTGATTTTTAATTACCTTCTTCAAGATTTTAAGATGGAGACTCCTGAATAATTTTTCCTTGCTTTTTAAGATTTTATTCAAATAAGTAGAAAGGTGCTTAATTAAAAAGAAAAAAAAAAAAAGGACTCTATAAGGAAGAATTTCAGTGCTATGTTCCGTGGCTCCTTCCTGGATTATCCATTTAGTCTACTGGAGTTGTAATTCTTCAAGGCCCAATTAAAATTACACATTCCCCATCATCCTTTCTCCAACTACTAAATCCCAACAGCAATCCTGAGAGTAAATGAAAATAACTACACATAGTAAATATTACTTAAATCTGAACACAAGGTTATACTGATTACTCACTGATAAAGGGTAAATTAACTGCCATAGGAGTTCAAAAAAGAACGCACTTACTCCTGAATAAAACAAGGGAGGATCATGGAAGAGGTAGCATCTGAGTTGGGCCCTAAACAATCTTTGATTTTACTAATTAGAAACTGTGAAGAACAGTCTTTTAAGGAAAAAGCAAAGACATGGAGAAGGAAAACTGCAAAACAACTATGAAATGGCAAACTGTACAATTTGGCTCTGGCATGGCAGTCACAAAAAGGAGTAGCCAAAGCAAAAAGTAGACAGACTTAAAAGATTTAAGGCCATGAAAAGTCACTGAAGGTTTTCCAGGAGGGGAATAACAGCATCAAGGTACTTTCTCTAGGCCTCCCTTTCTTTGTCTACTACATGGAATTTTCCATTCCATCACTCCCCTTCACCCACCCCACAATTTTCACCTCTTGGACTCTTACCTAGACCGAGCTCAAGCACTGACTCTTCCATAAAGTCACCATTGATTAACTCCAAACATTATGCCTTTATTACACACTTTTCTATCCTCAAAGGGCCCTGGTGGCACAGTGGTTAAAGTGATCGATTGCTAACTGAAAGGTCAGTGCTTCAAAACCACTAGCAGCTTTGCAGTAGAAAGACGTGGCAGTCTGCATCCATAGAGATTTTTAGCCTTGGAAACCCTATGGGGCTGCTATGAGTCAAAAATGACTCCACGGCAGTGTGTTTGGTTTTGGGTAGTTTCTATCCTCACCTTATACTCAGCCTGTCAGAAGTATATCAAAGTTGGCCACACTTTGGTTTTCTGAAACATCCTCTTTTCTTGGCTTCAGTGACAACACACTCTCTTGGTTTAGACACCTCATTTTAAAGTTACATGTTTATGTTGAAAATAAATCATTTGAATGGGTTCAGACAAGAACAGTATTCTGAATATAGGCTTTGTTTATGGCAGACTCGGCTTGCCTGGTGACCTAACAGCTAGTGTCTAGATCACTAACTAGGTCATTCAGGGGAGTCAAGTTAGCAAAAACAAACACGCCACCCAAATTCACCTGAGAGCAATAAATGTCTCTTAGGATGAAATTAGTTCTAAAAAACACAGCAAGCCAATGATGAAGTACTTCCGGTTTCTGCAGAATATCGCATGCTCTGGATGTCATGTGAGGGCGCTGTGCACCCCAATTAATTTAACTTTTTTCTGCCTATCTTCTGGACTGGCTGACTACCTCAATTTCTAGGGCTAGCTGACTCTTGAACCCTTTCAGAAGAGTGGATGGAATGTAACATACTCCCAAAACTGAAAATGTGTGTTTAAATTAAACCTAAAAAGCTGGTAACAGCTGCCAGGAAGTAGCATGTATTTCAGAATCCCACTTATACACAGGAGAATAACTTAATTACGGATTCCAATTTAGCTCTTTTGTAACTGCAGAATTACAGATAATATCCTCTACTAGACAGACCATGAAACACTGACGTTTCCTAGGGCTTCGCGCTGGGTCATCTTCTCTTCGCCTTCTTATCTCCTAAGGTGATTCCATCTGTTCTTCTGGCTTTAAATACTATCTATACACTGATGACTTTGAAAGCTGTATCCCCAGGATGAGCCTTCCCCTGAGCTACAGAAGCAGATATCTAATTGCCTATCTGACAGCTCAAACTTAAACTTTTTCCAGAATAAATTCTGGTTTCTCCCAATTCTGTTCCCTACTGGTTTTCATTTCAGCAAGTGACACCATCAATTACTCAGTTACTAAAGCTAGAATCCTGAAAGTTAGACTTACTTCTTTACTTTCCCTCATCTACTACATCTATGCTGGCATTTCTCCCTCCTAAACATATCCCCTCTGTGTCAGAGTAGAACTGTGCTCCATAGAGTTTTTGATAGCTGATTTTTTGGAAGCAGAACACCTGGCCATTTTTCTGAGGTGCCTCTAGACGGACTTTAACTGTCAACCTTTTGGTTAGCAGCTGCATGTGTTAACCATCTGTACCACGAAGGTGGAGAAATATACCTTTTTCTTTCTTCCACCAGAGCCACTCTTTGCCTCCCTGGAATTGATTCATCTAAGCATTTAGAGTGATCTTTTTAAAATGTCAGACGAAGAATCCAGTTGTGATTATTTCCAGCTTAAGATCCTCTAGAAGTGTTAAAAGATCCTCTTTAAAGTGTTAAAAAGCAAAACTGTCACTTTGAGGACTAAGGTGCACCTGATCCAAGCCATGGTATTTTCAATCTCCTCATCCACATGTGAAAGCTGGACAATGAATAAGGAAGACCAAAGAATTGATGCCTTTGAATTATGGTTTCGGCAAAGAATCCTGAATATATCATGGACTGCCAAAAGAACAAACAAATCTGTCTTGGTACTACAGCCAGAACGCTCCTGAGAAGTGAGGATGGCAAGACTTTGTCTCACGTACTTGGGACCAGTCCCTGGAGAAGGGCATCATGCTTGGTAAAGTAGAGGGTCAGCAAAAAAAAAAAAAAAAAAAAAAGGAAGACCCTCGAAGAGCTGGACTGACACAGTGGCTGCAACAATGGGCTCAAACATAGCAGCGATTGTGAGGATACTGCAGGACTGCGCCGTGTTTTGTTCTGTTGTACGGAGGGTTGCTATGAGTCGGAACCAACTTGATGGCACCTAAGAACGACAAGAAAGGTTTATCACTGTACTTAAAATAAAATCCCTACTCCCTCCAAGGCCCAATGTGGTATGGCTTCTGCCCACCTCTACAACTGTCTCATGCTCCTTTCTCTGTCATTCATTATGCTCCAGGCATCCTGGCGGTTCAGTTCCTCGAACACGTTCTTCCTGTTCCCTCTGCTTAGCAGGTTCTTCTCTCCTGGTATTCCTTTTCATTCTTCAGATGCCAGCTTAAATATCACCTCCATAGAAATTTTCCCTATGACTCTGCATAAATAAGTCTCTTCTTGTTATTCTCTATTTTTTTTCCATTTACAGGCTTATCAAAATTTAATATGTATTTCTTTGCCTACTGTCTAAAACCCATGTTTTAGCATCCGGTGTATACTCAGCACGTAAGAGTGCCTATATGAGAAAGGTATTCAAAAGATATTTGTTGAATGGATAAATGTCAGTCCAAGGTATGTCTGGTCTTCCTTTGTTTGTAACCTTAGGCAAAATACTCAACAACTCTTTCAATTAATATTTAATTAGTATCTACCATATGACAAGTTTTTCAAAGGAAGCTACAGAAATAGAAATGTGAAGGGAACACAAATCTAAAGGAAGAGTAGATGTATACATTTATAAAAAAAATTGTGAGGCAGTATATGAAAACTAATATGAATAATATATGTCAGCAGTTGAGGGGGAATATAATTTCTGGTTGGGTTAATTAGGGAGTAAATCATGGAGAACGTGATTTGTGAGCTGGGCTTTGAAAGATGGCTAGGCTTCTGACAGTCAGAGATAGGGCAAGGGGCCTTACAGATGAAGGAAATGATTTGAACAAAGGTGAGAGGGTGAGAAAGCATGATGATCACACAAGGGCAAACACGCTGGCATGAGCATGGGTTTCAGTACAGGAGTAGTAGAACATAAGGTAGAAGGATATGTTGGTCAGTGTTTTTAATGGCTGGTCTATAATGGATTTAATATTTCTCATTTATAAGCCCAGATGAGAGGTTCAAATTGTGCATTTACAAACATGAATTTGACCATAGCATAGGTAATAAGTTAAAAGTCTGCACATGGACCAGGCGAAAGTTACTATATTAGACCACATGTACAATAATAAACTTGAATTAGGTAGAATGGTGGCAGTCGAAGTGAAAAAGATTGAAAGGATACAAAAAACTTGGCAAAACAAGTCAATAGCAGTGCTTCTCAAACCAGGGCTTCGAACTGGTTCTACATGGTTCAGTCATAGCAGATGGAAACAAGGCAGGGCTTTGAACTGGTTTGAAGTGGTTCAGTCATGGCCAATGAAAACAAGGGCATCATATGCACTGCTTAGCAACTGAATCTTCTGCACGCAGCTTTTGACCTGCAGAGTTGCCCCAATTCGCGCTCCACAGTCCCACCAATAATCCAATCTCCCTCATCAGAAAACTCTCAGGAGCAAACAATCCAATCTCTTCCATCAGGAAACTTTCAGGAGCCAACAATCCAATCTCCAGCATGAGGAAACTTTCAGAAGCCTGATGCAGGAGACTGGATTACTGGCAAGATTGTGGTGACCAACACACATTCCATGTGGTGCTGTTGGCCACCATCTTTGAGCAGGGCACCGCTGCTTGTTTCCTACACAGGTCAAAAGCTGAAGCACAAGACATTTAGTTACTATGCAACACGTACGCTGCCCTTGTTTCTGTCAGCCATGACTGAACCACTTTAAACCAGTTCAAACCTCTGCCTTGTTTCCATTGGCCATGACTGAATCATTTAGCACCAGTTCAAAGCCATCTCAAAACTATCTCCGGTGAAAGGCCAATTTTTTTTTTTAAGTTCTGAATTGTAATGGAACAATAGTTTTGTAAAAAGCAATACAAATGAATTATTAGAAAAATAAAACATAAAACACAAGTGCCAATTTCTTACTATTATATTCAACAGACATAAAATTACTCTTTAAAATTGCTATAAAAATTTCTAAGTGCTTACTCTCAATTCTGTACTTATCTCAACATGAACAGGTAACAGTTTGTGGCCTGGCACCAGTACACAAATTACTCTTGGAATAGCACTGGTTTTTAGACTTTATTATTGACTGGATACCAAGACAGTCAAAAGTGATCCGAGATTTCTTGTCTGGGTGGCTATGAGAATCGTGGTACCATCAGGTTGGGAATTTTGGTCAGAGAAGGTATCACTATTGAAAACATGGATTTTGGGCAGAACGAACCAGTGGAATAATGAGAAAACCCCACCAGAGACCCAAGACATTTTCTGTATAGGATTTTTCATTACTCTTATTTTACTATTACATGCTAAAAAAAAAAAGGCAGGTACTACTAATTTGGAGGAAGCCTCACTTTTACAGGAAACAATGTGAGAGGCTAAAACAAATTATTTAAGTATTTTAAAATGTGTGATTATCCAATGTCATTTGCAACCAAGTATGATAATGAGTCACAATTTCTGGCTCCTCATATTGATATAAATTACTTTCTTTTTGACAGACACGCACACATAACTCCATTCTTTTGAAAAATCATCCTTGGTGGTGGGCGCGCAGTGATTTAATTGCCCTTATGTTCCTTAAATTTGTGACATAAATCCTGGGTCACCAGCTGGAGACAAAGCACTCTTCTGTTTGACTTGACATTAAAGATTGATGATGCTTGACTGGACAAGTAGATGCTCATCTTTTTGGTAATGGGGAAGACCAGAGCTCCCAATGGATATACAGAATTGAAATCAGAGGCTTAATAAACACATAAATTGAAGGCAGTATTGCTAGATATTAGATGATGGAAAAAAATGCCTAGGACAATGGAAGCAGAATATGCTTACAATTATCTGCAGCAAATGGAAGGTATGACTTTTGCTAATGTAATAACCCATTTAATAATGATATACTAGTTAAGTCATTTGATGCCCTAAGTGACCTTTGAAGAGAATAGCAGAACCAATGATAGAAACTTTAGAGTCTGAACTTGATAACTCATGTAGTGATACATATGTGATATCTTTACCAAGTAGATTTTCTTAATTAATTGCAAAGATGATGAGAGTTTGAACTACAAAAGTTTAGACAGGTCCTAGGTAAACACAGTCCTTTATCAGGATCTGGCAGATAAAAGAAAGTTTTAAATGTAATAGATTAATTCTTACTGATTAAAAAAAAGTAAATGAATTAAAAACTCAAAATATCTGCTTTGACTTACCCAAAGGGATCACCAACCACAAGGAACGCAACATCACTGAGGTCGGCATCCTCTAAAATATTATCTGCTTTTTGTTCCACTTCTTCTCTATCAGCAACAATCAATTTTCTTCCATAAAACTCTTCCTATAGATTTAAATCAAATACCAAAATGAGAGACAGCAGGTGACCATTTCAACACACACAAAACAATCTTTGTCTGGGACTGGTGCAAATCTTGGCAACCTTCCAAACACAGATCACTGAATACAACTCATCAATGACCTAGCACTCTATATCATGTTGCAATTAAACTCTGTCTTTGGGGCTATCTTAATATCCCAAGAGGACACATACCTTTTAACATCTGAGGTTTCTGCATGTTAAATTTATTTATAAATTTGGTTCTAATAGATCAGGCAGAACACTAGAGGATGAACAGTGAATACATATGTATAAGCCTTATTTCAGAAGCATAATACAGAATAAACATATTAAACAATGACTACAGACATACATGACAGGTCTTCATTAAATTTTCTATGCGAAAATCTATGGGACCTTGGCTAAAACAAAAGCAACTTCATTGGAAAATAACAGAAAATTAAGATTTAGTTGTTTACGGAACCAGTAGGCATTCCTACGTAATGCCAGGAAAGACTAATTTAGAACTGTAGTCCTAGTTCCTGCTAAAGAGGCAGAACCGCAGGAGGAAAAAATAATTCTAAATACATAGGAAGTCTCCATATAAAATGCTTTGCGAATTAGTCCCCTGAAGTTCAAAACTAGCGCATAACCCAGCAGGCAGACTGAACTGGAGTGGCAGCAGCATAAAAAGACAACGTGAGCTAGTGCGCTAGTGGTTACAAGCTACTACGCAAGATCATGAATCTTATAACTGATTTCCTGTGGACTAATCTGCAATTTAAGTACAGTAACAGTGGATGCATAAATAATACCATTTCTTACACACTGATTTTGTTTGACTCCTTAAAAGTCTTTAGAATTTCTGTTATGGAAAAGTATTTGGTACTCAACAACATTTGTCCAACAAATGAGTACATGAACAAATGATTAAACATCCGAAGAGAAAGGCTATAGTTCTAACTTTGACAATTATTTTCTAATACTTAATGAGACCTTTTTTGCTTTCTTCATGTATGATGTCCTTAATGTCATCTCACAACTCCTCTGGTCTTTGGTCATTAATGTCCAATGTGTCAAATCTATTCTTGAGATGGTCTCTAAATTCAGGTGGGATATACTCAAGGTTGTACTTTGGCTCTCATGGACTTGTTTTAATTTTCTTCAGCTTCAACTTGAACTTCTTCAGCATATGAGCAACAGATGGACTGTTCTGCAGTCAGCCCCTGGACTTGTTCTGACTGATGATATTGAGCTTTTCCATCGTCTCTTTCCACAGATGTAGTCAATTTGATTCCTGTGTATTCCATCCAGCGAGGTCCACGTGTATAGTCTTCGTTTATGTTGCTGAAAACGGTTATTCCCAATGATTAGTCACTGGTCTTGCAAAATTCTATCATGCAATCTCTGGTGTCATTTCTATCACCAAGGCCATATTTTCCAAATACTGATCCTTCTTTGTTTCCAACTTTCATATTCCAATCACCGGTAATTACTGATGCCTCTTGATGGCATGTTTGATTAATTTCAGACTGCAGAGGTTGGTAAAAATCTTTAACTTCTTCATCTTTGGCATTAGTGGTTGGCACATAAACTTGAATAACAGTTGTGCTAACTGGTCTTCCTTGTAGGCATATAGATAATATCCTATCACTGACAATGTTGTACTTCAGGATAAATCTTGTTCTTTTAGAAAATGAATGTGGCATCATTCCTCTTCAAATTGTCTATCCCAGAATAGTAGACCATATGAATGTCTGATTCAAAATGGCCAATACCAGTCCATTTCAGCTCACTAATGCCTAGGGTATCGATCTTCAAGCATTCCATTTCATTTTTAACAACTTCCAATTCTCCTAGATTCATACTTTGTACACTCCACGTTCTGATTATTAATGGATGTTTGCAGCTGTTTCTTCTCATTTTAAGTCACACCACATCAGCAAATGACGGTCCCGAAAGCTTGACTCCATCCATGTCGTTCAGGTGGACTCTACTTTGAGGAGGCAGCTATTCTCCAATTACATTCTGCTACAATTCAAGAGGTTTTCACTGGCTAATTTTTTTAGTAACAGATTGCCAGGTCCTTCTTCCTAGTCTGTCCTAGTCTGGAAGCTCTGCTGAAACTTGTCCAATAAGCAACATCATGATAAACAAAGAAAAGACTGAAATTATCAAGGATTTCATTTTACTTGGATCCACAATCAATGCCCATGGAAGCAGTGGTCAAGAAATCAAATGATCTATTGAACTGAGCAAATTCACTGCAAAAGACCTTTATTAAGTGTTAAAAAGCAAAGATGTCACTTTGAGGACTAAGATGCACCTGACCCAAGCCACGGCGTTTTCAATTGCCTGATATGCATGCAAAAGCTGGACAATGGCTAAGGCAGACTGAAGCAGAATTGATGCATTTGAATTATGGTGTTGGCGAGGAATATTGAATAAACCATAGACTGCCGGAAGAACGAACCAATCTGTCTTGGAAGAAGTACAGCCAGAACGCTCCTTAGAAGCGAGGATGGCAAGACTTTGTCTCATATATTTTGGACATGTTATCAGGAGGGATCAGTCCCTGGAGAAGGACATCACACTTGTAAAGTAGAGGGTCCACAAAAAAGAAGAAGACCTTCAATGAGATGAACTGACACAGTGGCTGCAACAATGAGTTCAAACATAGCAATGATTCTGAGGATGGCGCAGGACCAGGCAGTGTTTCATTCTGTTGTACAGTCACTATAAGTTGCAACCAACTTGATGGCACCTAACAACAACTTTATGAGAATCTGTTCCTCAAATGTTGAAGAAAAAAAAAAATCTTTTCCTTTTCTCTGCATATCTTCTTACAGAAAATGTTTGAGGGGTCCCCATAACAATGGTGCTTTTATAGATGATAAATGCTTTTGTTCCACTTTACCATGTATTTTTTTCTTAATCACTAATTTTATGTTTTACTTTGGTTTTAAGAATCCAGAAAACCTGAAAAACAGTTGCAGAATATATCTAAGAGAATAAATGTATGATTACTGGAAAATGAAAGAGGCAATGGTCTTTTCTGAATATCTAATATTTCTTAAAGAAGACCAAGTCACATGTTACTAGCCTTATGCTAGCAGTAGTCTACCCCAAATTCTATATGATTTTAACAACAACAAAAACCCTATACTCTCCTCAAGGCTTCTATCATACATCACTCCCATATTTATTACTTTTTCTAACCTAAAAAGCATTTGTCTAATTAAGACAACAAAATGCTTACTAAAAATATCCTTTAAGGAGAAACACAGACACCTCAATATAATCAAATGCCTGATTCTGTTCAAAAAAAAAGAAAAAAAGCTTAAAAAAGGGAAGATATGAAGTTCCCTGGTAGTCTAATGGTTAGGATTTGGCACTTTCACCACTGAGGCCTGAGTTCAATTCCTGGTCAGGGAATAACATCCTCTTGTTAGGAGCCCTGGTGTAGCAATGGTTAAGCACTAGGCTGCTAAGTGAATGGTTGGTGGTTCCAATGTACCAGCAGCTCCACGGGAGGAAAGACCTGGTGATCTGCTCCCATAAAGACGACAGTCTAGGAAACCGTATGATACAGCAGTTCTAGTCTGTCCTATAGGGTCACTATGACTTGGAGTTGACTCAACAGCACACAACAACAACACAGCAATAAGTAAAAGACTGGTGTCATATAATTTTTCTGTATCATTTTATTTATTCATTCACTCACTCATTAACAAATATTTCTTATGCACATCCTCCATGCTGAACTCTATGCTTGATGTTGAGAGACAGTGGTGAACGACACATACAAGATCCCTGCCCTCGTGGTGCATACTGTCTAGGGGGGAATTACCTACCACATATATGTGCTATAGGAGCACCAATCCTACTCAAAAGTCAGGGAAGAACAATAAAAAAAGGGTACAATTTAACAAATAATTTTATTTTGTATTATGTATTATCCAATGACTGATTTGCCAGTTTCTGTACACTACCAGCCCTAATATTTCCATTCATGAAGACGAAGGTAAAGCTCCAAATTTATTCTTGCTTTAAGTTGGCAGTTTCTATACATGGAGACAAGATAAAAACTAAAAGTTAAAATTACTTTCAGGTATTTCTAGAAGGACACGCAAAAAGTTAACGATTACCTCTAGGAAGGAGAATTGGGATAGAAATCTTTCAACGTACATACACCTCTTGGTACGTTTTGAATTTCAAACCATTTAACGTGTTACCTAGTCAAAAAGTAGAAGAGTAGAAGCTTAAAGTAGTGCATGGAAACAAGTGAGAGAACAAAATCTTAAAAAGAAACACTAACATTTGAAAGAGGAGCAAAGAAAAAAAGGGCTTACAAGGAGATTGAGAAAAATGGAAAAGTGGGAATAAACCCAAGAAAATAAGTGTCTTGAAAGGTAGTTTCAACGACTTGTCAACCATGTCGAGAGAAACAAAATACATACAAAACTATACTCTGGAGTTCTCAACTAGGAGATAATTGCTTAACATAGAAATATTTTAGTTATTCATTTTAGAAATGAAGTTAATCTGCAGGGGCCTGAGGCGTGAAGGAAAGTAGGGGCAATAAGGTAAACTGCTTTTTCAAAAGGCTTTGGATAAAGAAGAGGAGATATAGAATAATTACTATGAGGAAAAGAGAATTTTCATAATAGGCAATACTTGAATATGATTTCCAGCTGAGAGGAAGATATTAATATAGGCTGAACATAAAGAAGAATAAATAGTGATGGGAGTGAGGTTCCAGAGGAAGAGGGAAAGGAAGGAGTTAAAAACAAACAAAAACACACCTAGATGGAAATAGCCTTGAACAAGAAGAGCATTTCATCTTACAGGTCATTTTCTAAGACTGGCGGGTAGACAAACTCAGATTTAGATTAAAGGTACCCAAAAACTACCACTACCCTCGAGATGATTCCAACTCATAGTGACCCTGTAAGACAGAGAAGAACTCCCCCTTGGGTTTCCAAGGCTGTAAATCTTTAAGTAAGCAGACTGCCACATCTTTCTCTCGTGGAGCAGCTAGTGGTTTCAAACCACCAATCTTCTGGTTAGCAGCCAAGAGCTTAACCACTGTGTCATCAGGGCTCCCTGGTTAAAGGCAGATGGAAAGTTAATAAAGGTCTTAGCTGCTGGCCTCATTTCTCTCAGTGTGAAGTCTTTATGATCTTCTCCTGTCTATCTCATCTCAATCCAAAGAAATATGATTAGAGGACAAGGAAACAGAAGGTACTAATATCTAGGAGAGATAGTCTAGGAAAAGTATGGAAGACGAAACAGTTATTTCAGTGAAACCCAAGAACAAGTATAGCAAATCCTTGTGTTTTCTTCCTTCATGCTTTTGCTCACAATCATTTCAACATGGGATGCTCATCCTCCTGTCCCTACCAAATCTTATCTTTAATAATTCTTTCTCTTCCCCTTACCAAATCTTATCTATAATAACAATAATTGTAATAATACACTTACATTGGGCTCACTGTGGTCAGACATGATTCTAAGAACTTTATGCTTACGAATTCATTTAATCTTCACCACAGCCTATAAGATAGGTACGATTTTTTATTCCCATTTTAAATATAAGAAAGAGAACCATAGAAAAATTAAATGAATGTCCAAGCTCACAGAGCTAGTTGGTGCAGAACTTCATATGTGCTGCAAATGGGATGTATCTATATCATACCACTATCTGTATGACTTTGGAGAAGGTTGTTAACCTCTCTATGCCTGTAAAATGGGAGCAGTAATTATAGAGTAATAATCCTATAATAATTCAACACATAAAGCATTTAAAATAGTACACAGGAAGTGTTCTATAAATGTTAGTGACTATTATTGTGGAGGAAGTGATAGTTTAGCTCCTTAACAAAGTACACGTAATTAACCTATAAGTGAAGTTGGACCCATCCCCAGATCTTATATAAGCAAAGACTCTACAAGTACCTTTTTAGGGAAAAAAATTTTTTTAATAGCAGCCAATGCTGTACTTAAAATTTGGTTGTTGTTAGGTGCTGTTGAGTTGGTTCCGACTCATAGCGACCCTATAGGACAGAGTAGAACTGCTCCATAGGGTTTCCAAGGAGCAGCTGGTGGATTTGAACTGCCAACCTTTCGGTTAACAACCGAGCTATTAACCACTGTGCCACTAGGGCTCCTAAAATTTCGTTAGCACTAAAAATTTACAAAGCATTTTCACATGTGTCATCTTAACCCTAAATAAACCTCCAATGTGGTCATTATACCTATTTTACAAATGAAAATCTGTGGTTCAGTTTGGAAATATGTTCATTAACAAGTACCATTTCTGAACACTTCCATGCCAGGCATTAGGCTAAGAACCTATGAGATAAGTAGGTACTTTTATCCCCATTTTACACATTAAGAAATTAAAGGGGCTTGTCCAAGGTCACATAACTAACGTGGCAGGGCAAGGACATAAAACATGGTCTAAACTTTGCTCTATGCCATCCTAACACCTAACATATACAACTGCTGATTTGCTATCTATCTCTATTCTCTTAGACGATTTTTAAGTTCACTCTAGTTTTCTTTGATCACTGGTTAGAGAAATATTTCCATCATCTTGAGCTTAATTTAAACATTTTGGTTCCATCCTAAGTGTGATGAAAACTGGAGCTAATGGGTCAAAGCTGGACAATAGACACAACTTTTATTTTTATGCAAAGCCAATTCAAATAGCAGTCCTTAATTCCTAAAGATTTTAAAGTAACTTCGAGACCAGAATTCTTCAGGTTGTGAGTCTCAGAGTCCAAAAGACTTGATATTCTCTAGATTACCTATTTGGAATATTCTCATGAAGACAATTCTAAAATCCTCTCCCTCCTCCCATAACATGTCTGTAAGTCTTTTGATTAAGGACATTGTACCTGGAGTCTGACAATGGATCTAAACTTGACTCTTCCAAAATTTACTGAGCCCTTATAGGGTCGCTATGAGTCGGAATCAACTTCACAGCAACGGGTTTGATTTGTTTTTTTTTTTTTTTTAATGAGAGCCAGCTAAACATACGACACTCTAACAAATCCTATGGCTACTTAGTCTCCATGCTCAATATATACAAGTGTATGAGTGTTAAGTCCTATCGGAAGAGGTCTATTTAAAGGTAAGATCTCTCTGAATCTGATACAGATTACCATTCCCTGTGGAAATGACTTCAAAGGGGGAAGCTTTCAGCTTGGTTTCTGAATATATAACCAACTCATTAAGGCTGTGTCAGCACCTCATCAGCACTCAACTCAGAAAGATTCCTTGGCTACCTCATGAAATAAGGGATTTTGATAACTAACCCCAGGAGTATGAAATAACTTTCCCTTTCCTATTTACTGAAGAAAGTCACACAATTAGACTTGTAAAGCAGGACAAAACAATCTTTCATCTTCCAAGTCATTTGGTTAGTTTCCATTGTGGTACTCTTCAGATCCTTTAATGAGTAGGGTGTGTATTTCAAAGGATTTAAAAAGCAGAGGTGAAAATTCTGTTCAGCTTATTGTAATTAAAATCATATCGTAGCTTTCCTCCCAGAAGGCTGGGGAATCTTAAGCACCTACCAGGGCTTCCTTCCCTACAGTCAGGATTGAGGTGTAGGCCTCCAGATACACTCGACTGCAACGCTTTACAACTTCCAGGCCCTTGACTGTGATGTCCTTGGCATCTCCCAGGCCCAAGCCGATCAGGTAGAGCATTTCAAACTCCAGGGGGAGGGAGACTGCAGGACGAAGCGAACAAGACAATGTCAGCAGCACCAAAGATGCCTAAAATCCAGGGATGAACACGAGGATGAAAACTAAAGTGGCACAAGGAGGGGGCGGCGTATCTCACTTTCAGACAAGGGGTGAGGCGTGAGAATATCACTCTACGCCTCTTAAGTACTGGAATAAGTGTTTTTAACAACTCTACCCCACTTTCTCTCTTATTACCCAAACTTGGAGGCAACCATTTACCCGCTAAGAGAATCGCAGCTAGTTCCCCGTCCTCCCCAATCTCGTAAACGTCGCCTTCCCGCAGAGACCGCAACCGAACCGGAGGATTCAGGACCAACGAGAACCCACGCCGCCGGTCTCACCTACGGTGCCGCAAAACGCCGGCGCCTTTACTGCATTTTACGACTAGCAGGAGGGGAGGGGCGAGTGGGCTCCGCTGTTGGGTAGGGGGAACCGGGTCTCGGCTCGTCGACTAGTAAGCCGCGTGGCTGTAGGGGCGGGAGGTGAAAGGGCAGTAGGCCAAGGGGAGTCTGTCCAGTGCCCCCAGCACAACCTCCTGGAAAGGACTGGACATGCTCACGATTCCCCACTGGCCAGTAGCTTAAACATCCCTATCCTGGGACTGAGTAAGTGAAGGAGCATCTCGCCAGGGCCGAGCCCGACTCGAGGTTGGGCCGCGCGTGGGGAAGGCAGGGACAGTGAGGAGGGGCCCTGCGCGGTGCTATGGGGGCGGCAAGTAGGAGGACTTCCTTCATTTGGCTCGAGTTTGCCCAAGTGCACAGATTTTCATCCCCGCCTTCTCATGCTGCTCGAGTTTAAACAGCAACCCCCTCCGTGAGCTGTCAGATTGGTAAACCTGGCGGTGAATGTGGTTCCTATTTCCCAGCCGAGCAGTGACTCCCCGCTTTGCCCCCAGAACTTCATTCCGGAGTGCCCCAAAGGGAGTGACTGGGATCTGCCTCAGTCATCCTCAGTATGGGGAAGCCCAGAACCTCTTGGGCCTAGAGAAGTGACCTTTAAGAGTGCTCAGGGATTTCAGACCTTGCTTTAAGTGCTTCTTTAGGGGAATTCTTACGTTGTGGTTGCCTAAATGTGGTTCTGGTATCAGAAAGGTTTGTTTTTTTTCTGAAAATACTCCTTATAAGATCACTAGTGACCTCATCCAAGTTAAAATTTCTATTGCTTATTTTTAGTGGACATTGTTGATTATTCAGAATTTTCCTGGTCCTTTTCCTACAGTGCTTTGAGTCTTTTTTTCCCCCAAACTCAGCTTCCTTAGAACTTGGTTTATATTTTCTTCCCGAGTTCCATCCAGCCTTTGCACTTTTGTTCACTCTATGCACTCTGGCTGATTCTATTATCACTCTCATTATCTGGATGCATTCCTCACACCAGATACAAAATTTAACTAAAATGGATCATAGACCTAAGTGGAAAACCTAACGTAAAACTTTGAGAAGAAAACATAGGTTTTGAACATACTGTGACATTATTTAGACAAAGTTTTTTTAGATGGAACACCAAAAGGATGCTCTATGAAAGAAAAACATAATAAATTGGCTTTAACAAAATAAGAACTATACTCTTTAAAAGACTGTGAAGAGAACAAAAAGACAAGGCACACACTGGGAGAAAATATTTGCAAAGCATATATCTGATAAAGGATTTGTATCTAAAATATATAAAGAACTCTCAAAACTCAATAATAAGAAAACAAGTCAATTAAAGAAAAATAGGCAAAGGATTTGAACAGACACTTCACCAAAGCAGATATAAAACAGCAACAACAAAAAACTCGTTGCATGAGAGTGAATTCTGACTCATAGTGGCGACCCTGTAGGACAGAGTAGAACTGCCCCATAAGGTTTCCAAGCCTGTAATCTTCACAGAGGTAGACTGCCCCATCCTTCTTTCCCCTGAGCGGCTGGTGGGTTCAAACCACTGACCTTTCGGTTAGCAGCTGATTAACAGTTAACCACTGCACCACCAAAACTGAACTCATTGCTGTCCATTCGATTCCAACTCAGCGACTGGAGTAGAACTGCCCCATAGGGTTTCCAAGGAGGGACTGGTAGATTCGAACTGCCAATCTTTTGGTTAGCAGCCAAGCTCTTAAGTACTGCGCCACCAGGGCTCCTTAAAGAAGATATACAAATGGTATATATGCATTTGAAGAGATACTCAGCATCATTAGACACTGTTGTTAGTTACTGTCCAGTCGATTCCATAGAGAAATAGAATTAAAACCACAATGAATACTACTATGCGTCTATTAGAATGACTGATTTTTTTAAAAAACTGATTATCCACTCTCATAATTTCAGCTACCGCTAATATTTTACTGACTTACATTTCAATCTCCCATTTAGACCTTTCACTCAAACTCGTATATTTAATTTTGCTAGACATCTTCACCTACATAACCCAGAGGCATGTCAAATTCATCACATCCAAAGCTGAATCCATTATCTTTTCTTTCAACTTGGCTCTTCTTCTGTATTATCTACTTTGGTTGGAGGCATCATAGTTCATAGACTCTCACCCAAACCAGACACCTGGGAGAAACCCTCACATCCAGTCTGTCCTGTGTGTCCATCTTCCTCAATAGAAACCATACCTATTACCACTGCTCTGGTTCAGATACTCATTCTCTCAGACCTTTAGCTGGTAATGTAACCATGTCTCCCTTGCATTCATCCTTTTCTCAGGGGACAAAGTTACTTGGCTAAGACACAGTCTGAAAATGTCACTCTCCTACTACAACTCCTTTTAGCCAAGAGAAAGTTCAGGCTCTTAAAATATCCTGCAAGATCTTCCATGATGTGGCTACTTTACCTCTCCAGCCTAGTCTCTCTCCACTCCATGCTTTTAGCTTTTCCGCCAGCAGTAATGAACTGTTAAAAAGGAGCCCTGTTGACAAAGTGGTTAGCCCTGGTGACACAGTGGTTAAGTGCTTGGCTGCTGACTTTTTAACCAAAAGGTTGGCAGTTTGAACCCACCAGCCACTCCACAGGAGGAAGATATGGTAGTCTGCTTCCGTGAAGATTATAGCCTAGGAAATCTTATGGGGCAGTTCTACTCTGTCCTATAGGGTCGCTCTGAATCTGAATTGACTCGATGGCTGTGGGTTTGGTTTTGGTTTGGGTTACTGAACTGCTTGTAGTTCTCTGCCAATTACATGCTGCTTTGTGCCTCTGTGACTTTAGTCAGACTACCATCTTGGCATGGAATGCCCTCTCCCTTTTTCTTCAACCTAGATCACTACTACTAATTCTTTACAACTCAGCACAGGAAGCCTTCCCAGATATCCCCAATCCCCCAAGCTAGGTTACGTGTCTCCTTCTCTCTATTATAATTATATTGTTGTTGTTAGATGCCCTCAAGTTGGCTCCAACTCATAGCGACTTTATGTATATAACAGAACTAAACGTTGCTTCTGTGCCATCCTCACAATAGTTGCTGTGTTTGAGCCCATTGTTGTAGCCACTGTGTCAGTCCATCTAGTTGAGGGTCTTCCTCTTGTATGCTGACCCTCTACTAAGCATGATGTTTTTCTCCAGCAATTGGTCCCTCCTGATAACATGTCCAAAGTAAGAATAACAAAGTGTTGCTATCCTCACTTGTAAGGAACATTCTAGCTGTATTTCCTTCGAGGCAGATTTGTTTGTTCTTCTGGCAGTCCATGGTATATTCAGTATTCTTTGCCAGCACCACAATTTGAATGCGTTGATTCTTCCTCGGTTTTCTTTTTCATTGTCCAGCTTTTGCATGCATATGAGGTGATTGAAAATAGTGTAGCTTGGGTCAGGAACACCTTAGTCCTCAAAGTGACATCTTTGCTTTTTAACCCTTTAAAGTGCTCTTTTACAGCAGATTTGCCCAGTGCAATAGGTCTTTTGATTTCTTGACTGCTGCTTCAAAGGTCATTGGTTATGGATCCAAGTAGAACAAAATTGTTGACAACGTCAATTTCTTTGCCATTTTTCATGATGTTGTTTATTGATCTAGTTGTAAGGATTTTCATTTGCTTATGTTCAGGTGTAATCCCTACAGAGTTCCTGGGTGACACAGTTGGTTAAGTGCTTGACTGCTAGCCGAAAGGTTGGTGATTCAAACTCATCCAGAGGTACCTTGGAAGATAGGCCTGGCAATCTCCTTCTGAAAGGTCACAGCCTTGAAAACGCTGTGGAGTGCAGTTCTACCTCCACGAGTCAGAATCAACTTGATAGCAACTAACAACAACAGCAATAATCCATACAAAATCACAGTTATACTCTGTGCATATATGTATCACTCAATTTAAGTGCTTTTATAATTGTCCATTTACGTGTCTTCTTTCATGACATCAGGTACTGTGTCTTAGTCAAATTCTCATCCTTACGGCCTAGCATACTGCCTGGCACATAGCAGGTATTCAGTAAATGTTTGTTAAATGAATTATTATATACCCACTAGTGGCTGACAAATTTCTTTAGGTTATGATATCTTTTTTTATATTAAATGCAGGGGGTGGTATGTTCTAGATAACTACCAAAAAGTTACTGATGAACTATCAAACATAAACATGCCTTACCCATACCATTTTAGAAGCTTGTTTCTGTTGAAAGGTTTATGATACATATCACATACATTTCATATGCACACTGTAGAGTAGGTATACAAATTTTCCAGTATACTGCTCACTTTTCATATGTTTTTTGTTTTCAGATTTTCCTTGAATATTTTCAGATAGACTCGCAGCGAAAGGAAATTACTAAAAAGAATAAATAATCCAGAGGAAGGTATGCTTTTTTTTTTCCATTCTGAAATAAATCCATATTGAAAATGAAGTTATTCTGGGTAGTCAAGGGATTGAAATATTTTTGTGTTTTTAAATACAAAAATAATTTCAGTTTTTACTCTTCCCAATTCTGCAGAGGAATTTCGTATAGAATTCTTAATAAACAAACTTTTATACCCACCTTCATTTTTCAATAAAGGTGTACGTTTTTTGGACTTTTCTGGATGTAGACAGATACAGAAAGAGGATATGGTGATACATTTTTTTTTCTCCCTAGCTCAACAAATAGAAGAAGCAAAGCCTTGCTTAATCCTTTTTTGCAGAATTTTTATGTGAGGTTTAATATTTGTTTCCCCCCTTGCCATTTTAAACACGTTTTCTAATATGATTACATTTTCCCCAACAATATATTATGCAAATTTTCAAACTTATAAAAAAGTTGAAAGAATTTTACAGTAGGCATTCATATAGCCACCTAGGTTCTACAGTTGTTAACATTTAGCTGTATTTACCTTGTCGTATATCTACCTATCTAGCCACCATCAACCCATCTTATTTTTTGATG